GAAATTTATATATAAAGAGGAGTTTATTAAGCATTAACTTACAAGGTCCCACAATAGGCTGCCTACAGGCTGAGGAGCAGGGAGAGCCAGTCCGAGTTCCAAAACTGAGTCTGATGTTCGAGGGCAGGAAGCAGCCAGCATAGGAGAAAGACACAGGCCGGGAGGCTGGGCCAGTCTCCCTTTTCACATATTTCTGCCTGCTTATATTCTAGCTGTGCCGGCAGCTGATTAGACTGTGCCCACCCAGATTAACAGTGGGTCTGCCTTTCCCAGCCACTGACTCAAATGTTAATCTCCTTTGGCGACACCCTCACAGACACGCCCAGGATCAATACTTTGCATCCTTCAATCCAGTCAAGTGGACATTCAGTGTTAACCATCACACCTTCCAAGCTATCATCTCCTCCTAACAATGGGTATACGTTATGGAGAAGGGTTAGAAACTAGTGCCTATCCCTCATTTAAGTTGTCAGATGGAGTTAGCGGCACCTCAAAGTCAACTTGCCCCAAGTGAAAGTCTTCTTTGCCCATGAAATAAGCTGGGTTGCTACTTCCCTACATCTCTGAAGGGCTCCACCATTCGTCTGGCAACCACGCTGTCGAAGCCCAGAGGGAGGAAAAGAAAATGTATCTAAATAGAACGCCAGGCCCCACGCTGAGAATTTTCGCACCTTGCCCATTTAATACAACAAGCAAGGAGGTAGATGATATTGTCTACCTTTGCAAATGAGGAAACAGAGGCTTAGAGAAGTTAAAGAATTTGCCTGAGAATAAAGCTAAAAGTAGCTTTAAAAAACCAGAGCTGGAATTGTGAGTTTGATGCAAAGTTTGTGCTCTCTTCATCCTTCACCAAGACCTTTTCATTTTCCCTTTAACTACCTCTTACGTCTACATTTCCCTTCCATTCCCACCACTACTAACTACCCTTCTCTACTGTCCCACCCAAAGGGGGAGTCTCCAACAAGGTCCCCCTGCTTGTAACAGTCAAGAGGGCAGCTGTCCACCATGCCCAGTACAGGTGCTTCATGTGGGGAAACTGACGGGCAGCTGACTAACACATAACTTCTGGCCTCAAAGGAATTTACAGTTTGGAGTTAAAAATAGCAAGGAGGTGGTGGGAGGAAGGTGAGAAAAAAGGGTGGGAAGGTGAGAGAGGGGAGGGAGGGGAATAAGGTGTGGGCTGTAGAGGGAATCTGTCCTAGGAAGCCTTCTGCTCTGCCCCAGCCTGCTTCTGGGGAGTCTTCCTCACCTCTCCTTGCTGTCCATGCAGACTCAATGTGAGCAACCACAATTGCAGAGTGTGGCCCTCTTCTTCTGACACGGTCCTAAATACAAAACTGAGTAGCCAGAAGAATCACTTCTAGGGTAAACATCTGTAAACACTAGTTATATTTATTTTCAATATTACCAGTTAACATTGTGGTGCTATTACTGGTGAGCCAGACTCTGCGCTAAGCACAGACTTTCTAGGGATTATTTCATTCACAGAAACCACCATGCATTTGCAGATAGATGATAACATAGAGTCTCGGGGTCAAGATGGGTACAGCCAAATCCATCTGCCCAACCCAAGGGTCCCTGAGCTCCAACCCTACATCAAACTGCCAACATAGTACACCTTTTAGAAAAAGATTCTTGTTACAAAAGTACCATAGGCAGTGTGTGTGTAAGGTCATTGTAAAAGTGTCGGTAAGCAAGACATAAGTGTCATCTCACCACCCAGAAGTAACCACTGTTAACATGTTGGCTTATCTGCTCCCAGATGTTTCTGTGCCTGTATACACTATTCTCCTTAAATAAAAACAGGATTACACGGTGTATGCAGTTTTGTAACTTTTGTTCATGAAAAATATATAGTATAATACATTTCTTTCTTTATCATAAAATAGTCTTCTATGATACAGGAGGTTGTGTAGGATTTCTTTATTCTTTTGAATGGATGCACCATAATTTATTTAATCAGTTCTTTATGTTTAGACATTTAGAAATCTGGTTTTGTTTCATCCTTTTCGTTTGTCACTCTTGCGAATAGTTCTGTGGTGAACATCCATGTAGTTGAAGCTGTCCAGCCAAGCTCCTCACACCCTCCCAGGCCCTCCTCCAAATCCTTTGCCACACTGGCAGGCTCATGGCCTCGGAACATGGTGCTTCCTCTGTCTGCGTCTCCTCCTCTCACCCCAGTCACCAGCTAACTCGGCTGTCTCTCAGGTCGCAGGTGAAACGCAGCTTCCTCTAGGAAGACCAGGCCCTTCTGCGGTTTGGTCTCCTAAACCCTACCTTGTCCCTTCATTGCATTTAACATAATTATGATGAATTAATCGGCCACATGATTACTTATCTAACAATGATGTTCCCTACTAGACTATTAGCTTCAGGATGGCCATTTTTCACTATGCTATCCCCAGGGCCTAGCCAGAGCATTTCGTAAGAGTTTCCAAAATCCTTTCCAGCAGGTTTTCAATTTACTTTGCCTAGATCCATCAGAGGAATCACATGGCAGCTATAGCCTTATGAAATATATTTCTTAAATAATAAGGCTTGAAAGTCAAACTTTTCCTTGGACCATGGGCTGCAGAATGGATGTTGTATTAACACACATGAAAACAACATTCATCTCCTTCAATTTTTCCATCAGGGCCCTTGGGTGACCAGGTGCATTGTCAATGAGCAGCAACATTTTGAAAGGCATCTTTATTTCCGAGCAGTAGGACTCAACAGTGGGCTTCAAATATTCAGTAAACCATGCAATAAACAGATGTGCTGTCATCCAGGTTTTGTTGTTCCACTTATAGAGCACAGGTAGAGTAGATTTAGTATAATTCTTAACAGTCCTAAAATGTTCAGAATGGTAAATAAGGGTTGGCTTCAATCTAAAGTCACCAGCTGCATTAGCACCTAACAAGAGAGTCAGCTTCTCCTTTGAAGCTTTGAAGCCAGGCATTGACTTCTCCTCTGTAGCCATGACAGTCCTAGCTGTCATCCTCTTCCAATCTAAGGCTATACTGTGTACATTGAAAATACATTGGTGAGTGAAGCCACTTTCACTAATTTTCTTAGCTAGATCTGGAAAACTTCCTGCAGCCCCTGCATGAGTACTTGGTGCTTCTCCTTGCACTTTTATGTTATGGAGATGGCTTCTTTCCTTAAAGCCCCATGAACCAACAACCTCTGCTGGCTCTTCTTCCAACTCTCCTTCTCAGCTTCCTTACCTCTGTCAGCCTTTGCAGAATTAAAGAGAGTTAGGGCCTCCCTCTGGATTAGGCTTTTGTTTAAGGAAACGTTGGGGCTAGTCTGAACTTCTATCCAGACCGTTAAAACTTTGTCTATATCAGCAGTGAGGATGTCTTGCTTTCTTATCACTCATGTGTTCACTGGAGAAGAACTTCTACTTTTCTTCAAGAGCATTTACTTTGTGTTGGTGACCTGGCTAACTGGCACAAGAGGCCTAGCTTTTAGTTTATCTTGGTTTTCAACATGCCTTCCTCACTAAGCTCAATCATTTGTAGCTTTTGATTTCAAGTGAAAGCCACGCAACACATCCTTTCACTTGAACATTTAGAGGCTATGATATGTCTATTAATTAGCCACATTTCAATATTTTTGTGTCTCAGGAAATAGGGAAGACCAAAGAGAGAAAGACAGATAGGAAAACTGCCAGTCAGTGGAACAGTCAGAACACACACCATATGTATCGATTAAGTTTACCATTTTATATGGGCATGATTTGCAGTGGTTCAAAATGATTATAATAGTAACATAGCAACATAAACCATCACTGATCACAGATCACCGTAACAGATATAATAATAATGGAAAGTTTGAAATGTTGTGAGAATTACCAAAATGTGACACAGAAACATGAAGTGGGCTCATGCTGTTGGAAAAACTGATGCCAATAGGCTTGGCTACTGCGGGGCTGCCACACATCTCCAATTTGTTAAAAAACACAGTATCTGTAAAGCACAATGAGGCATAGTGCCATAAACAGGGTACGCCTGCATGTGAATAAATGGTAGAAGATTCTTGGCTGGTTGTAGTAGCTCACACCTGTAATCCCAGCACTTAGGGAGGCCAAGGTGGGCAGATCACTTGAGGACAGGAGTTCCAGACCAGCCTGGCCAATGTGGTAAAACTTTGTCTCTACTAAAAAGACAAAAATTAGCCAGGCATAGTGGCATGCACCTGTAATCCCAGCCTCTCAGGAGGCTGAGGTAGGAGAATTACTTGAACCCAGAGAGTGGAGGTTGCAATGAGCCAAGATCATGCCACTGGACATCGGCCTGGGCAACAAAGTGAGATTCTGCCTCATAAAAACCCCCCAATAACCAAAAATTAAAAACAAAAAAATAAGAGATAGAAGATTCTATTTCCAATATTGCCATTAACTAACTTTGTAATCTTGGACACAGAGAAGTTATGAATTCTAAAGTCCCTTTGAATTCTAAATTTGGCAACTCTGTGCATTGGGCAGTGGACAGAATGTGAACTTTGACATCAGAAAGACATGTTTTCAAAAATGTGCCTTGCCCAGTTTTGTAACTTTTGTTCATGAAACAATACACTGCTTTCTAGTTGATGGGTCTTGGTCTTAGTTAAACTTTCTGATTTTAATTTCCTCATCAATAAAATTGGACCAGTCATGTCTCCCTTGCTGTATTAGTATGAGAATCAATGCTAACATGTTGGACAATTCTTGGCATCAATTAAGGACAGCACTGGTGGTGCCGGTCCTGGCCCTGCTGGTAGCCCAGCAGCAACTTCCTTCCATTGCCCACGTAAGCCTCTGTCCCACTATAGGAAATCTACACACGCATTCACCACTAAGTAATGCCTCACACACCTTCACACTCTTGAACTTTCCTGTGGCTATGATACATGCTTTTCAATCTATCTTAAGGTGACCTTCACTTGCACGGAAAGTCTGAAAATGTACAGTCAGAGTTGCGTAACTGTGAGGTTGGCCTATAAAGTAAGCAGCTTTTCTCCTCTTCCTTTAATTATTTTTTTTTCATTCACTTGAGGCATTCCCCTTGTGGGCGTGTGATCTCCCCAATGGCAGCAATAGCGCAGGCAGCCACAACCACAGCCCTCAGCCCACTGCAAGTGAGAGTACAGAGCACCTGGCCTCCTATAGCCCAGAGCTCCAGGGGTTCCATCTGGTGGCTGCCAGAGCAAAGGCTCAAGGACCTCTAGGCTTGCCCTGAACAATGCACAGGGGGCAGCTGTCACTCCCTGCAGCAAACTCACTCTGGGAGAACCTCTGGTCAAATTCCAACAACTCAAGATTCCAGAGTTGCCAGGAAACCCAAAGCACTCAAATGGCCCTCCACTCATCAGCACATACCCTTGTCTGTGGTCCAGGTAGGAAAGTGAAATGTTATCATCTGAGTGCACATCACAACACAGGAGCCAGAAGACCATTTCAGAAACAGGATGATTCAGTCCTGTTGCTCTGTGTATGTGTGTGTGTATGTATACATCTATCAAGAGCCACAGAAACAGGCTGTTTTCTGCCTTGTGGTCTTCAACTCTGGTCACCCTTTAACATCATTAGGAGAGAAAAATAAGCAAAAAGACATGGTCAAATATTACAATAGCCAACCCTTACATCAAGCTTACCCTGTGCCAGGCAGTGTCTAAGCACTTAGTCTGCAAAACCCCAAAGAGTAGCTAATGACACTATCCTCATGTTACTCATGAGGAAGGGGAGTACTGAAGGGTTAAATATCTTGCTCAAGATCACACAGCTCATGAGTGGCAAAGACAGAGTTTGCATCCGCCTAGCAGTCTGATTTCAGACACCAAGCTCTAAATACTGTATTTCACAAAAGAAAAATTATGAAGGACTGAAAAACATGTGAAAAGATGCTTAACCTCATCAGGGACCAAGAGAAAGCATGATGAAAATAAATAAATAAATAAAAAGGCACGCTCTAATCCTGGTAGAGTGTACATCGGCCCTTTTAGACAGGTGATTTGTCAGTGTCTACCAAACAGAAAGCATGAATTCCCCCTGGCCCAGGACTCCACTTCCAGTAATCTATACTGCTGGAATACTTAAAAGTTTTGTGTTCATGGGTGCCCTCAGATGGCAATATCTTTGCAAGACCCTCTAGCCATCTCTGTATGTGACTCATAGTAAAGTACCTGGCACTTCTTAGGTGCTCCAGAACTGCAAGAATATGCAACCAATGAATATTATTTATCTAAATAATGATGTCTGTCCAAGTACTTCAGTAATGCCACTACCAATTCAATAAAGTGTGACCATACCAAGCTTGCAAAACTAAAAGGAATCAGAAAAAGGCTCTTCTCTTCCAGGCTCTGTATGTGAGGGAGATGGCCCCACTTGCTGTGTTACCTTGGTCCCCGGCTGGGGGATCTGATGGAACGTACCCAATGGAGATACCAGCAGATGAGAGCATAGGGGTGAGAGTTGGAGTGTTAGAGCTAGAGTGTTCACTCCTCCTCTTCCCCTAGCTATGCCTCTGTTGCTCTATGCCAGGTCACGGTTTCAGCAGTGGCTGGAGTTCCTTACAGCCCCAGCTCTCTCTGATTGATCGCTGTTTCACATTTGTTTTGGTTATGCCTCTTCTTCTCCTTCAAGCTTAGAAGAGGGGATGGTTTCTGCTGTTGCTAGCCTCTGGCTGCCTCACACCATCTCCAATGCTCCACTCACCTGCCGACATGTCTGTCCAGAGCCCCTGACTAAACAGTCTCCGATTGAAGCCCTTGAGTGTGCCCTCTTTATTTGCCAAGACCCTAAGTGATTTGGTCTCAGACTTTCATCCAATGCATATTTGTGGAGCACCTATTGGGGTCACCAGCATGAGGAAATCAGTCCCTTCTACCTGTCAGCTCAGGGTAGCAGCTACAGCAGGGGTATTCCATGGCTCCAGGCAGGACCTTTTCCTTCAAATTCAGTGGGGGCTTGGCTCTTTTCTAAGTGACAATGAATTAAGATGGCAATACTTGGTTAAGTTAGTTTTTGTTTAGGTGCCTGTCTCAGATAGATCTAAATCCAGTTAAAACCACTCTATCTCTTGAAATCTCTTAAGAATTTCGTCTCATAAGGCAAGTGTAGCAAGTTCAAAAGGGTTAAGGGGGAGTGAAATGGAAGTAAAACTGCTTCTCCTTAGTGTCCCCATCTCAGGGAAGGACACTGTCAACCACCTGGTCCCAAACCCGGAGCCCCAGAATCTCTCACTCTAACTCTCTAAACCTCTCTCTGGTCTATCCCCTCCCATCCATCCTCATTTCTACTGCCTTGGTCCAGGCTTTTACCTGTTCTTGTTTGCAGTGGTCATAAGGAGTGGATTGTGTCCTCATCTCTGCATCCAGTCTGGCACAGTGTCTGGCACAGAGTGGGCCCTCAGGAAAGGCTGTTTGCATGAATCAAAGCCTGTCACAGTAGCCTCCCACCTTTCTTCCTTCCCCAGTCTATCGCCCATCTGATATGGTGAGATCTTTCTAAATCAGAGACATGGTTACATCATTACTTAAAGTCCTTCAGTGTTTCCACCATGGCTGTTAGCCAGGACTTGCCAACCTTTGTCTATAAAGAAACAAATAGTAGATATTGCAGGCTTTGCACCTGCTTCCATTATTAGAGTTTCCCCAACTCTATCTTGTCATTACTTGTTGACACATCTGTATCCAATTATGGAAGGGACAGGCCTGTTACAGAGCTGCTTAGGAAATGTCTGCTGATTGAGTTGAGATCAAGGTACCCAGTTCTTGCCTGTTGCCCAAACATAACTATTTAGATAACTAACTAACCTAGTGTTAGTTTCTGTTGCAACTACTCACTCTGTTGTTATCACGTGAAAGCAGCCATAGTTGCTACCTAATCAATGAGCTCGGCTGTATTCCAATAAAACTTGATTCACAAAAACAGGCAGCAGGCTGAATTGTCCCAAGGGCCACAGTTTGCTGCTCCTGCTCTCACAAGCATGTGCAAGCTGGCTGATGTGGCATCGTGACGGGATTCAGTTGGCCTGAGTCCTGACTCTCCTACTTCACATTTGCTCTCCATCATTGCCACTTTTCTTCCAATCCCTCCCACATGCTGTGTATTTTCAGGTATCTGTGACTTTCATTTGCTGTTCTCTTTCTAGAATCCCTTTCCTCATCTATATGCCTATGAAACCTTTATCTTTCTAAGCCCCTTGCTTTGAAGGCTTCCTGACTATTCCCCCACCCCTGCCCCCAGAAAGTAACGTTGCCCTCTTTTTGTTGCCTGTGTACCTGCTTCCATTATTAGAGTTCCACCTAACTCTATCTTGTCATTACTTGTTGACACGTCTGTATCCAATTACGGAAGCGACAGGTCTATTACAGAGATGCTTAGGAAATGTCTGCCAATTGAGTTGACATCAAGGTACCCAGGTCTTTCCTGTTGCCCAAACATAACTATTTAATGCCCCTTTTCACTCACAGAAGTGACCCTATGGAAGCGACAGATTATGTAGTTGCCAGCCTTTCTGTACTTTTTGTATGGGTGGCTACCTGCTTAGCCTAAGTTTGGGACCACAGGAGAAGGGTTTAGGATCTCCCTTCCCAGCGTTTATTCCCTTTCCTGTGTCAGCCAGCAGATAGGTGTCCCTGGCCTCCCCAGGCCGAGCACAGAGCAGCTGCAGGCCAGGGCAGAGAGGGTGCCAATGAGGGTCCAGTTTTTTGTCTACTCAGCCCAGTGAGATAGAGTCAATCAAGACACTGAGCATAGTAAGACTTGCAAGGAGGGTACAACCCCACGGTGAACAGTTAACTCTGCCCTATTCTATGCCCCCAGGATAATTCTAACTACAGCTAGGGGAGGGGGGAGAAAACAATGGGACTCTTCGATCGGGGCAGGAAATCCTCCAAGCCCAAGCCCCACGAGGGTCAGGCCACCTGTGGGGCCTTTATGCACAGAGAGGTAGCATCTCACTGGAGTGACCATCCCTCTTCAAGAGTCAGAGGAGTAGCTCCTGGAAAAGGTACTCAAAAGAGAGAAAGAGAAACACCAAATGGCTTTTCCTCCTACGCCTTCTCCACTTGTTTGACAAGCAGCCTGGTTGCCCTAGCCTCTTTCCTGAACTTCCTCTCCACCCCCGTATTTCAGACACTTCCATCTCTGTTCCCTGGGCCCCTCACAGGAATACAAAATGGCTGCCCGGAAGTAGGGCTGTATAAGAAGCCCTTGCTTCTTTGAAAGCAGTCCTGAATCCGAGAGTGGTTCCCATAACTCTTGCAGCTCTGAAGTAAGAGCAAAAGGCAATGAGTGCATTTGCCAAAAATGTTTCTCTTGCATGTGAATCCCAAGTGCTATCTATATGGCCATCTTCACAAAACCGCCCTCCTGAAAGGTCAGCCTTATTATTTCCAAGAGAATTGAGCTCGTTCTGACCCCAGGGTTCTAACTCGTGACCTTGAATCTATGCTCCTGACTTTTTGTTTAATAAGTCTTTTGAGTAGCTTTTGAATAATTCCCACCCCAACTCCAGCTGCATTCAATTCTCCCAAATAGCCATGCATCCAGAATTGTGGATAAGGCAATGCCCTGCTTTAAAAAATAAATGCCAATAAACAAAAACTCAAGCTTAGGAAACAAAGGGATCACTAGCAAACATTCAGAAGGAATCTTTGCATGATGAGGACTCACTGCAATTTCTTTACAAACTGGAAGTGCTCCTGAATTTAAGTGTTCATTTGTGAACACTTAAATTGAAGGAGTGAAAGCAAAGACTTCAGGAGCCAGTATCACATAAAGATCATCTCTCAAACTATAACAGAAGGAAAACAGGAATTAATTTATTCCAGACTTTTTAAAAACACCCCCCTCTTTGACCTATATTACATAGAACACAGGTGTATGCTTGATATAAAACAAAAAAGTAAAATAAAGCCCAACACCAAACCATTTGGTGGCAAAAAGCCATGAATTCTGAAACTTTACAAATTGGTGATTTATTGTCCACCATGCACAAAATACTCCACAAATTTAGAAGAGAGGACCTTACCTGAACAAGGCATGCTTCCCACTCTCAGAGCGCTATCCACCTGGAGGAGAGATAAGAGAAATATAAAAATAATTTGTATAAAACTGAAAGTGAGCTATGTGATCTTGGGCAACTGATGTAACCTCATTAAGCCAGCTTTCTCAACTTTAAAATAAAAAATACCTACCACAGGATCTCCATGAAGATGAACTGAGATGATGCAGGTAAAGGGCATAGTACAGGGGCGGGGAAGAGCTAGAACATCATTCCCTATTAGCTGTACTGCTCCTGCTGGTTCTTATCATCATCTGTATTTCCCTTACACAGTCATTACAGAAAGTGGAAAGAAGAGATTATTCTATTCAGTACAACAAGAAACAATGGATGGAGGAGGGAGATCTCAGCTGGATCTTTGAGGACAGGTGGGATTTCGGGAGAGGAGATGTTCAGGAAGGACAGCCCATGATAAGGATGTAAGTCAGGTTCAGCTTGAGGAACAGTATAAGTGGGTCCTAGAGGCCATGAACAGATTTGGTTGGCATGAAGGATATCTTTTTTTTTTTGACAGGGTATTACTCCGTTGCCCAGGCAGGAGTGCAAGGGCACAATCTTGGCTCGCTGCAGCATCTACCTCCCAGGCTCAAGCAATCCTCCCACCCAGCGTCCCTAGCAGCTGGGACTACCAGTGTCCACCGCCACACCTGGCTAATTTTTGTGTTTTTTGTAAAGACAGGGTTTCCCCATGTTGCCCAGGCTGGTCTTGAACTCTTGAGCTCAAGCAATCCACCTGCCTTGACCTTCTGAAGTGTTAAGATTACAGGCGTGAGCCACCGCGCCTGGCTGACATGAAGGATATCTAACAGGGAGAAAAAAGAGGCAATGCTGGAAACAGGCTGAGATACAATTTGTGAAGGAAGTTTAACCTTCACAAATGAGGTGTTTGAATGTTACCCTATTGGCAATAGGGAACAACCAAAGGTGTTTGGGGAGAGGAGTGATATGCTGTGAGTTACATTTCAGATACATTCTTCTGGTAGCGGTGTGCCAAATGGACAACAGGGGAGAGCCCCGTCAGGCTACTGGGCTATTTTAATGGCCTGGGCAAGAGACAGTGAGGGCCTAAACATGCCCAAAGTCTATAGAAAACAAACGAAGGGGATAGATAGGAAAAACACTTTGAAGGAAGATCAGCTGCCCTAATTTAAAGGAGGAGAGCACTGAGTCCTCTTTTGGTGATTTAAAGACCTTTGAACTTGGGTGCAGATTCCATTTTAAATGTCAGAAAATGCAGGAAGAGGAACCAGTTCAGGGACAGGAGAAAAACCATCTGTCACTACAGTGCGTGAGGTTAAGGCCCACTGGCAAGAAGTCATTGGATAGAAATGAATCCTTCTGTTTCCTCCTCTGTGAAATGGGGTTATCTGGGTAAACTCCATAACTTCTACAGTTAGCCTTACTGATTTCTAGGTATGAGCTTCTCAGGGGATACAGTCTCTTTACTCATGATTCATGGTGATTTGGGGAGTGAATGTATGGCTCACCCCGTGTACTTATTTATATCCATTACTACTTACCCAGGCAGTCTTGAATAGACTTGCAAAGTCAAATATGGGCCCAATATTCTAATCCCTGAAAACAGAGATGGGTTTTATCTGTTTTCTAAACATCAATTCCTTTGGTATATAAAATTCCAGTAGTAGTTATTGAAATCCTATAGTTTCTTGTCAACGTGGATGAAAATTATAGTACTGTATCAGTCAGGATCGAGTCAGGAAAATAAACAATACTGGGTATTCTAACAGAGAAAATATAATGTCGGGATTTGGTTAAATAGACATTGGAGGACTGAAAAAGCAAAATAAACACACTGAGCTGACACCAAGGTAATAATTTCAGGAAGTATCCACCACCACCCAGAGAACCAACAAGAAATTGGGGTTACTAGAACCTACAAGCTCAGTGGAGGGTTCCATGGAGCTGGATGCCGGCCTCCATGGAAGCACCGCACAGCTCGTGCTGCTCTCTGAGGGTCTGCATTAAGGTTGGCTCTGGAAGGGCCAGGAGAAGATGAACTGGAACCCACTGCCGCTGCTGGGGTCAAGGGCCATTGCATGCAGAGGAGGAGCAGGTCCTCTGTCCCCTCTCCTTGTCCCCCCTTGTAATAACCTAACCTGAAGCCAGCTAACGAAGAAATATTGTTTGCAGAGTCCCAGGATCACACAGCAAAGAAAGTAGAGAAGGGTGGATGAATGACATGAGGACTTTTACATAGCATATAACCTGAGAAATATCAGATTGCTATATTTATTTTCTGAACAAGCAACCACAAAATATAAAAACTGTTTCAGATAGTGGAGTACAGACTAGAAATATTAAACTACGGTCCCACAAGCCTCAAAGAAAAGAACTAGATGGACAGTTTGTGGTGTGAAAGTGCTTATGGTAATGTATAGAGATCAAGGTTAACATACCCTGACATGACCTGCCCCCTCAGTGATTCATACCCTTATCTAATCCCACCCCCTTGAGTATAGCCAAGACCTGAGAATTGCTTTTAACCAATAGAATATGGCAAAGATAATGGGATACTGCTCTCTTGATTATATTATAAAATTCAGCCTTAGTCGACAGGAGTGAGAAAGAGTCTTCTGCCAGCCTTGAAAAAGCAAACATCCATGCTGTGACTTGCTGGTGGCCTCTAGGACCTGAGAGTGGTTTCCAGCCAACTTCCAGCAAGAGGCAGGGGACCTCAGTCGTACGTCAGGGAAATGAATTCTTCCAACAGTTTAAATGAGCTCAGAAGCAGATCCTCCCCCAGAGCCTCCAGATAGGAATACAGCCCAGGTCAACACCTGACGGCAGCCTCCTGAGCAGACTCTCAGCAGAAGCCCCAGCTAGCCTGTACGTAGACTCCTGACCCAGTGAGACTGTGACATGGTAAACCAACATAGGAATAATGCTTATTTCTCTATTTTCCATCTACAGTCAACATTGACCTCTTATTGAGCATCTACCATGGGCTAGGTGTTTCTAGTCTTCAAGAAGTGAGTTTAGTAGGAAAAACAAACAAATAACCAGAGCATTCCAGTCTAGTGTGATGTGTTCAGAATATAGGTTAACCCCAGGGGACTGCAGGACCTGGAGAAGGGCAGCCTGGCCAGAGCAGGGGCCTGGGGGAGCCTTCAAAGGAGGAGGTCTCAGGTAAAGGAAGATTAACTAGTTAACTTGTTAACTAGGGGAGGGGGCTCTAGGCAGAGGTCCAAAAAATTAGATTGTTCTTGATTGCTGATCATTTTTCTCCAACTTCATTATATGTAACAGAAATCAGAAAGAAAGAATTCAACGCAAGTTCTTCCTTAAATTGTTTTTCTTCCATCAGATTTATACTCATATTACAGCATTCAATTGAAAATCCAAAATCCAGAAGAGCCTAAAAAATGTGTGCTTGAGCTTAGCTATGTCTCCTGATAGAGATTAGATTAGTGATTGTTTGTCTTAATAAACGGCACTTCCTCTTGAAACTGTGCCCAAAACAATCTTAAAAAGTTCCGATTTCATGAAACGTGTCACTTCCTCTCCACTCACAGCCCCCATTTTCCTTCCTTCCCCTGGGTCTCACTTTTTTTTTTTTTTAAACGTAATGCTTTCGTGTTTGTAATAATACCCCTCCTTGGCAGGCTGATATAACTCCCATTTTTCTGGGGAGAGTTTTGAATGCAGTGAGTTGTGATCTCAGCCAAGGTCACAGAGAGGGTCAGAAACAACAGAGCCGAGATTTGATCCCTCGCCCCAGGAGCCTCAGGAGGGGCCCTACAGCCACTTTCTTGTCATCATCTGAACTTGGAACGGCCTCCCACCCACGCCCAGCCTTCCCCGGCGCCTCCTTCCCTTCCCATGGCTTCACAGAGCAGTTATTCAGGGTCTGCGTGTATGAGCTCAGCCATGTTGCATGACCTACTTTGGCATTTTCACATTACTCGGGGAAGCTTTAGGGCAGAACCATGATAGCGGAGAGAAGCCTCCCTGCCAGCCACCCCGGCTCAGTTTGGACCTGCTTGCCCCGAACAAAGAAGCAGAAGACAGAGTGGATGAAAGACAAAGGGAAGGAGTGAGGAGACAGTTGGCCTTCAGCAATGCCAAAGTGACCAGTGCAGGAACTCCTTGAATGTTTGGGCAGGGTCATAAGACACCTGTCTATTTCACATCTGCTAATCAATTTCTTATTAAGTCATCATGGAGACTGCTTGGGGAGGAACTCTATCTTCTGAGAGTTTTCTAAAGCACCCTGTCCTCCTCCCACAAGGGCAGTATAATTAGTAATATCAAACACCTCGGGCTACCATCTCCTGTAAGGTGGGCTATTAACTTTTCAGAGGGCGTGAAGAGCTACCACTCCTATTTTAAATAAAGCTAATGCCAAGGAACCCACATTTAAAGTTCTAAAACAGCAGCTACGCACCCACCACCACCCACAGATCTAGTGATTGAGATTTTTTTTTTTCAGCTTGGCCTATTATTTACTTAGAATCAGAACTGATTTCTATCTGGATGATGTAGTTATTTAAGCTGACACCTCAAAGCATCCAACAGTAGAGTCCCCTCCCTCTTAAGAAGAGCCAGTGAGATACTATGACAGTGACCTCTGTGGCTGAGGGTGGGATTGTGTTAAATCCAGGAAGGCTCACGGATTGGCCATTATCACCTACCTCTCCCAACCTTGCCTTGCCGAGATCTCGCTCAGACCAGGAGGTTCTGAAACAGGGGCAGAAACAAAATGCTCGTTCCTTCCCAGGCAGCAAGGGCTCATTTCTGTTGGAGCCCTGGGCCTGGATACTCCGCCAGCCATTGGTATTGTCTTTGAAGCCAACTTTATGACTTCACACTTGGTCCAGTTTACCCTTCAGTGTCCTAAGTGGAATTCTTGGGGAGGGTGCTTGGAGGAGTACATGGGTAGAGGAAGAAGAAAACTGAAACTCTCTTTTAAAAAATACAATTAATTAAGAATTTAGAATTACATTATAACATAACAAGCACTAAGAAAAAAGTTTCCTTAAAGAATAG